CACACACACACACACCACACACACACACACACACACACACACCCACACACACACACACACACACACACACACACCAGGAATGGTAGCATTCAGGCTTTTCTGTCTAGGATAAACCTAGTTATTGAATCTGTTAAAATTGATAGATTGCTTTTCTCACAAAGCTTACCCCATGAAGGGAGTTGAGCTGGTAGGATTACCCCACTTTACAGATGAGTGGTAGGGTGCTTTGTTCAAGGAAGCAAGTGGCCAAGCCAGTCTGTCTGTCTTCAGCATTCACTTTCCACGGAGTTGGTTGTATTGTCTGCAGTACTAAAACCTAGGAAGCTCTATAACCTGAGTAATATTGTTAATTTGCAGCAAGCTGATGTAGTAAAACTACTAGAACTGACTGCAGCTTGATTCTTCATATTTCCCTGCAGGAATACAAATACGTTTGATATTTGATTACCCAAGGCCCTGCTGTGGATGTTAATGCTTAGCATGCATAACTTTAAAAAAATATCCAGAATTCCAAAACCAAAAACATATCTTGTCCTAAGGAGTTTGGTTAAGTGTTACTTGTTTTATGTTTGCTAAAATGGAGGCCTAGATCCTGATTGAATCTCATGTCCAGCGCATTGCTGAGGCTCTGCTTACCACCTCCCTTCCCTGTCTGTTTCTCTCTCTAGCATGCTGGACGATTTCTCTCATGAGTTGGAGAGTACTCAGTCCCGGCTGGACAATGTGATGAAGAAACTTGCAAAAGTGTCTCACATGACCAGTGGTATGTATGTTAACTCTTGAGAATTCATACTTAGTTCTGCAACGCTGTGGGGTCTTTGCCTGTGGGATGTTTATTTGAGCTGTGTCAAGATTAGAGAGTAGAAGACTGGTGTGTAGACGCCTGAACTTCTGCTTGTAGCCTTCACTTGGAAAAAGGGTCTGTGTTCCCACCATATTTGGTAGTTTTTCTCCCAGAGGAGCAACTTTCTTTGTGATTACAGCATCCCTTTTTACTTTTTTCTTTCCTGTTTCCTTGCCAAAATAGCTTATTTAAAGCAATAATTAAGAAGCTAATTGCTTTTTTCCTGAACTTTAATTGATTGATAGAAAAGTACTTACTGCTTCAGAATAAGATGGCCTTATAGATTTAATTTAAATTGTTATATTTAAATCGATAGTGAAATGTCTTAGCAAATTTGTAGTAGACACTTTTTAGATTACTGTATGGGAAGGTATGTTCTATTGACTCCTCTACCTGTGGCTGGTTGCTTCACAGAAGTCAGCCAAGGTTCAATTCTTATTTCTCTGAATGTACCAAAACACCCTATGATTTTTGTCATTTTCCAACCATAAGAATGTTAAGAATTTTGGTTACAATTACATTGTTACTATTACATGGAAAGTAAGTGTGTGTGTGTGTGTGTGTGTGTGTGTATGTATGTGTGTGTGTGCCAATCCTGGGGCTTGGGCACTGTGGCTTGGGCACTGTCCCTGAGCTTTTGTGCTTAAGGCTAGCACTCTGCCACTTGAACCACAGCTCTACTTCCTACTTTTTGCTGGTTGATTAGAGATAAAAGTCTCATGAACTTTCTTGCTCTGATTGGCTCGATCCTCAGATCTTAGTCTTCTGAGTAACTAGAATCACGGGAGTGAGCCATCAAAACCCAGCATTTTTGAAATTTAAAATATATTTCTTCTTGCTGGGCATCATTGATTCAAGCCTATAATCCCAGCTACTCAGGAGGCTGAGATCTGAGGATCACTGTTCAGAGCCAGCCAGGACAGATAAATTTGAGAAACTTAATTTTTGTTGTTGTTGGTGGTGATCTTGGGCCTTGAACTCGGCCTGGCTGCTGTCCCTGAGCTCTTCAGCTCAAGGCGAGCACTCTACCACTTGAGCCACTTCTAGTTTTCTCGTGGTTAATTGGAGATAATTGGAGATAAGGGTCTCACAGACTTTCCTGCCTGGGCTGGCTTTGAACCTCGATCCTCAGATCTCAGCCTCCTGAGTAGGGAGGATTTCAGGCATGAGCTACTGGCACCTGGCTTAAGAATTCACAAAAAGCTGGAAGTGGAAGTGTAGCTCCACTTGCCAGCCTGGAGCAGAAAAAAATCTAAGGGACAGTGCCCAAGCCCTGAGTTCAGACCCCAGTACCCTCACCAAAAAACAAAGCAAAACAAAAATAAGAACAACAAAAAACCCAACCCTAATAGCTCCTCTTCGTCTAGTGCAGGGAGGGGACTTGATGGAAGGAGGAACTGAGATTGTCCTTGAGATAATAGGAGTGTTCTTAAACCATAGAACTCCTCCTCCCATTTAGGGTTCCCCAGTTTCTTGACCCTCATTCTTCTGTTGGGTTCTTACCATTAGGTGTACATAACATGCAAGATTTAAACACAATTGCACATTTATTTTCCAGCAATTTAACTCCTAGCCAACTTTCCTACAGTTCTTTGGGGCTAGATGGACTGGAGGGGTAGGGTAGCTCAGTGGTAGGGCATGGCTAGCTGGGTAAGCTCTGGGTTCACATGCTGAGGAAAAACCACATCAATTCCTACATTGAGAGGTCATCGGAACATTAAGTGAAATAATATAAAAGCATTGACCAGTGTATTAGCACTTCATAAATGTGTTAAAAATATTGTAAAGCAACAGATGGCCTGACCAGCCAGACAAAGGATCTGTCAAATCCAAAAACTAGGGAAGCTTCTATCTAGAGCTAGTTCCTTCTTTGCAGGGCAGATACTCTTTTTTTTTAGCTGGTTCTTCCTTGCCTGAAGCTGTGGCAGTTTGGGATACAGACACCAGTTTAGCTCATCTTTCACACGCTTGCAGCAAGTTTTGCTAGGTCTTCTCTCTGCTTCTGTGTGTTCTTTCTCTTTCACCCCAATCCCTGTACTTTAAAAAGAAATGTTTTAATGGAGTATTGTTTGTGTAACCATGTTAAACACCAGGCCTCTCACTAGAGTCTGTATCAGTCATGAAGTTAAGTATCTACTTCAGCACCAGTTCTGTTGGAGAAGAGAAAGTGAACAAAGATGCACTGTCTTTGTTTGCCAGCATTTGAGTCTGAATACTTAGGAAGGTTCCTTGCATTGTGATAAGTACCTTCATGTGTGTGAGTAGCACTGAGGCTTGTATTCTATTTTCTCCTAAAGGAAGCTTGGAGAGCAAAGTAAGAACTTTGCGTACTACATTTGTATACGAGAAACAGCCAGGAAACAGCAGTTAGCCTGAAAGACCCAGCATTTGGGATAAGTCCCTATGTTTTCATTTTGTAACTAAAGGAATAATGCTTAGTGGCCTCTTCCTGTTGGCAGTATCTGTCTCAATCTGTTGACCAGGCTACTTACTGTCGTCTCTGTTCTACTTCTTAATTTAAAAAAAAATTTAAAAAATTAAGCCGGGCGCCGGTGGCTCAACACCTGTAATCCTAGCTACTCAGGAGGCTGAGATCTGAGGATCATTGTTCAAAGCCAGCCCAGGCAAGGAAAGTCTGTGAGACTCTTATCTCCAATAAATCACTAGAGAGCTGGAAGTGGCGCTGTGGCTCAAGCGGTAGAGTGCTAGCCTTGAGCTGAAGAGCTGAGGGACAGCGCCCAAGCCCAGAGTTCAAAAAAAAATTAAAAATTAATATCTTTTAAGTAGTTGCACAAAGAAGATGCCATTCAGTAAAGTAGTACATGAATACAATGAATCTTGCTCAGTGTCACCCCTTTTATCATTCCCCCCTTTCCTCCCAACCCTACCCCCTTCCCTTGATTTTGCTGTTTTTCTTTGGTCTTCAGAGGAGTTGACATTTCATAAGTCAGATAATGAGCACATTTCTTTTTGGATAATGTCACTCCCTCCTTTCTTTCCTCAGTTTTCTTAATTTTGTAGGATATGCATTGAATTTTATGACTGCATTTTCTCTTTTCATGCTCCTCCCTATCATTTGATTAAGTTCACTGCTTTGTAGTCAGCCCTGTACTTAAAGGAAGGCTGTGCAAACACCCGAGTTTGATTAAGCAGTAATGAACACACATCACAGCGGCCGAGTGACAGGACCCCTTCTCTCCTCCCTTGCCCTCGGCTGGCTGCTTCACTAGAAAAATCAATAAAGACTTGGCTTCTGGGAATAACCTAGGAGACACTATTTTTTTTATTACTATTAATTTACTTTATAGAGGTGATGTACAGAGGGATCATATGAGTCAGGTGAAGAGCGTATTTCTTTTCATACAGTCTCTTCTGTTCCCTCAGTTTCTCCCAGTCCCTCCTTTCTGTTTCTACCCACAGAGTTGCATAGTTCACTTTCATGCTGTCCACTAGCTCCACGGCTGCACTTTTTCACCCTTTGCCTTTAAGTTCTGTACCCTTCCCCCAACTCTTCCGATCACGCACACTTGAATACACCACGCATAAGATGAAGAAGACAGCATCATCAAAAACTAAAAGCTAAAGAAAAGAAAGAAAAAAGAGCCTCATGTTTCCATATCTTGGAGTTCACTTCAGTGTGTATTTGTTAAGATAAATATGAGGAGCACTTAGCCATTGCACCTTTGTGTTTTCTTTCCTAAGAGTATTCTCTTTTGGAAGAGACTAATTTTATCATTTTTCTAAGAAATATTGTTTTGAGGGCTGCAGATACATTTTTAAAGTCCTCTTTTCACCATTCTGTGGTTCATCTTTTCTTCTTAGGGAAGAAAAATATTTTGAGAGAGAGAGAGAGAACAAGGGGAGACGGGAGGAAGGGCGGGGGGGGAGGGGAGAGAGAGAGATGACTGTTGCAGTTCTTTCAGTGTCCCTTTCTTTTCCGGTAACTCCTGAGGTTAGAAAGGTGGTTTAAGCCTGGGAATGTAGCATGTGCTTACCATGCAACAGGCCCTGGGTTCTATCCCTGGCACCAAAACAAAATTAATTAAACAAAAAAACACCTGTTTAAAACTTTTCACAAAAGCCTTGTGGTTAGTACTCATTTCTTCTGTGCTGGGTACTTTGCAGGAAGTGCTGGGGAGAAACCTGCTAAAGTACCCCGAGGCTGCCTCGTTCATGCCTCGCAGAAGCAGCTTACTACTTCCGAGGAAAATGGCTTTCAAAGACCATGCCCGGGCTGTGCTCAATTGTGCAACTGTCATTTCCACTTGTTGAGAACCCCTCCTGATGCAGTTGCTGAAGAGAAATGGGGTAGTAGTAGATTTGTAGAGGCTGTCAAAAAGCCTAAAAGTAGAAATCTTGTCAGTAGTGGAAATCACTCTTGAGAATGGTGGGATGTGCAGAAATACTGGAGGGGAGCAGGGTCAGGGAAGGGGCATAGGAAGTTTGTGTAAGGTTGGGGGAGAGAGAGGAGGAGTAATTACCTTCTCTGTCTTTGCCCGGAAGAATATGAACTAATTATTTTAATGAGTGTTTTTTTTTTTTAAATTGGTTCCAGTCCTGGATCTTGAACTAAGTGCCAGGGCACTGTCACTGAGCTTTTGTGTGCAAGGCTAGTACTCTACCACTTGAGCCACAGCTCTACTTCTGGCTTTTTGGTGGTTAATTGCAGATAAGCATCTCATTGCCTTTCCTGTCCAGGCTAGCTTTTAACTGCAATCCTCAGATCTCAGCCTCCTGTATAGCTAGGATTATAGGGTGAGCCATTGGTGCCTGATCAACTGGCCAGCCAGCCGCCAGCCAGCCTTCCTGTCTGCCTGCCTTCCCTCTCAACTCCCCCACCCCTCCCTCCCTCCCTTCCTTCCTTCCTTCCTTCCTTCCTTCCTTCCTTCCTTCCTTCCTTCCTTTTCTTTCTCTCCCTC